TAATAAAGAATATCGCATTAAATTAACTTTGAACTAAAAATCGGCCAAGATACAATTTAGACAACTTTTTTCCGTAGGGTTAAATAAAAAATATTTTTTTAGCCAAATTAACATAGGGCCTTCGACACCCTTCTTTGATGTTGTAAGATACAAATAGATTTATTAATTATAATAAGAAATGACAATTATATTAAATAATACAACAAATTTTATATAAATTTACATTAATAATTAATAAACATTATTAACACATGTTTTATGTCAACAGAATATAATTTATATCATTTAATATAATTGTGTGGCGAGTGTTGTGTCGACAACCACTTCATTATCCATACATTCATCACAATTAAACTTAAAATTAGCGAAAAGTCGCGAATAGTTTCCTATTTAGTTATAATTATTATTTAATTAATAAATTTGCAAAATATATTATAATTGATTTATGATAAGTAAATCATAATAAGACAAACCGGTGGATAGCGATTCAATTTTTAGAGGTTTGCCCAACGATTGTGTCATTTTATATTTATTATGATTATTACCACGTTGGTCAAATTTGACTGAACTTTCACCATTTTTCCATCCGTACTCGATATCAGTCATACCAAATCCATCTATGATTATAAAACAAATTAATACAATTAATAATAATAATTTAGCAAATATCCAATTCAGATGACATACACGACTCCATTTCGAGATCGCATTCATCGGTTTTGGTGGCCATACGAGCGCCGCATCGGAACAGAACCCGAATTCTGGTTATTATTAATACTTTTTATAGACAGCAGTTTGAGTGACAATTATGTGAACAAACCTCTCGCTGTAGAAAACATCGCCGTTTGGTTTAACCATAAGGAATGAGTTACGGGTCGGGTATTTGTTGGCCAATACTTCCATTGAATTGGCAAAGAATGTGTCGGGAATCCAAACCCTGTCCACCAGTGACTTCCCGCCGACAGCACTCTCGGTAATGTCCTCATTGGCCAGTCGGGGGTCATTCCATAGTTGGCGGAAATATATGTTTACATTCATCTCCTATTTATCACAACAAATGCTTAAATTAAAGTATATTTTCTAAAATAATTATAAAAATACAAACCCTGTTCGGCGAATCCAAAGTATAATCAATAACATACATGCTGACGTTGACTTTAACAGGCATTTCTATAACATAAACATGCTTGTTTAAATAAACTGCAATAGGTAACTGCAATAATATCATTATCTAAACAATACCTCCTAAGTTCGGGCGAACGTCTTTGTCGTACAATTCAGGACTTGTTTTCACTTTAAATGCCTTCAAAGCGGCCACTTTTGGGCTATAATTATATTTTAATATTTTGTTTACAATATATGTAATATAAATTAGGTTTACATTAACTTACTTAAGAGATACGGCCACCGGATTACATAATATCTGTGACACACAAACGGCGAACACAATGATTGAAACAATTGAAGAATTCATTGTTAATAATAATAAGTTGACTGAAATTTTAAAGTATTGAAGAGTTTGTTTGAATAGAGAATATTCTTGAATTATATTTTTTGAAACCAACCGTGAGTTTATATACTTTAAAACCAATCAATAATCAATTACTTCCAAGAATGCAATACTAGTGTAACGATTAAAAATGATTAAATTTATTAATATTAATCGTAAATATTTATACATTGATTATTTTTTAAAATGGCAATTCTGGGAATACATGCTTATCATAGAATTGTTGATCCAATTAAAGTTACTTTAATATTTAATACGCAAAGCACTTATATTATGATGAAAATAGCATTTTACTAATTGTAATCAATTAAAAGTTTACTGTATATGTTTACTACACTAACAACGAGTTCTTTCAGTATAAAGTAGTTGTGTTTATCAAAAACTGTCAAAATTAATCAAATTTCTGCAATAACTCACAAATAATTTGAGAATCGGCTTTAAATATGATTATGTTTTCAATTTTGTTAACAATAATATACATATATTTATAGTTAAAATTTTATTTATTTTTAAAAATTCCTTTGAAAACTACATAATTGATACGGATTATGTAACTAGTTATATTTGATCATGATTGTTTATTCATGTATGATATAATGTTTAAAAATCTTATTCATAATTATTTGAAATATTAAATAAACTTTAGATAAGTTTTATTATTACTAGATAATTGGTGGTTAGGGTGAGAACTGTATCATCCTGGTTATTTGTATCTTCATTATTCATAACAGTTAGTAAAATAAAATTGTTTTAGAAAATGTTATTTTAAATATAACTAAATATTTTTTATTAATTGTAATTTGTTGAATTTTAAAATAAGTTACAACATACTTTAGTGAAAACACAAATTCTGTATAACAGACAAACACAACGAATATAATTATTAAAAAATTCATTTTCAATAATAATTTATAATTTATTAATTAATAAATAAATATTTTAATATTAGAAGTTTATAAAATATTTTTTTGTTTGCATAAAATAAAAAAATTATTGTTTAATATTTATATTAGTTAATTTATATACTTGTCTATTAAATAAACAAAATCAATTACCAGATTCTGTGTGGATGTTATAAATTAAAAAGATATCTATAACTTGTATTAAATATTTGGAAATATGCTCTTTTACTAAATAAATCAAATTTAATTTTGTAAAATACAAATAGATTTATTAATTTTTATAACAAATGAAAATTATATTAAATAATACAACAAATTTGATATAAATTTACATTATTAATTAATAAACATTATTAACACATGTTTAAGATCAATGAAATATAATTGACATCGTTTAATATAATTGTGTGGCGAGTGTTGTGTCGACAACCACTTCGTTATCCATACATTCGTCACAATTAAACTTAAAATTAGCCAAAAGTCGCGAATAATTTCCTATTTAATTATAATTGTTATTTAATTAATAATTTTGTAAAATATATTATAATTAATTTATAATAAGTAAATCATAATAAGACAAACCATAGGTGGGTAGCAACTTAATTTCCTCTTTGCCCAACGATTGTGTCATTTTGTATTTATTATGATTATTACCACGTTGGTCAAATTTGACTGAAGTTTCACCATTTTTCCATCCGTACTCAATATCAGTCATACCTAATCCATCTATGATTATATAACAAATTAATACGATTAATAATAATAATTTAGCAAAATATTTAATTTAGATGACATACACGACTCCATTTCAAGATCGCATTCATCGGTTTTGGTGGACATACGAGCGTCGCATCGGAACAGAACCCGAATTCTGGTTATTATTAAGAAATTATACTTTTTATAAACAGTGTTTTGAGTGACAATTATGCGAACAAACCTCTCGCTGTAGAAAACATTGCCGTTCGGCTCAACCCTAAGGAATGAGTTACGGGTCGGGTATTTGTTGGCCAATACTTCCATTGAATTGGCAAAGAATGTGTCGGGAATCCAAACCCTGTCCACCAGTGACTTCCCACCGACAGCACTCTCGGTAATGCCTTCATTGGCCAGTCGGGGGTCATTCCATAGTTGGCGGAAATATATGTTCACCATCATCTCCTATTTATTGCAACAAATGCTTAAAATTAAAGTTTATTTTTTACAATAATTATATAAATACAAACCCTGTTCGGCGAATCCAAATTATAATCGATGACATACATGCTAACGTTGATTTTAACAGGCATTTCTATAACATAAACATGCATGCTTAAATATACTGTATATTATAACTTAAGCATAATTGCAATAATATACTCGTCTAAACAATACCTCCTAAGTTCGGGCGAACGTCTTTGTCGTACAATTCAGGACTTGTTTTTGCTTTAAATGCCTTCAAAGCGGCCACTTTTGGGCTATAATTATAATTTAATATTTTGTTTAAAATAATTGTAAAATAAATTGGGTTTACATTAACTTACTTAAGAGATACGGCCACCGGATTACATAATATCTGTGACACACAAACGGCGAACACAACGATTGAAACAATTGAAGAATTCATTGTTAATAATAATAAGTTGACTGAGATTTCAAAGTATTGAAGAGTTTGTTTGAATAAAGAATATTCTTGAATTAAATTTTTTGAAACCAAACGTACGTTTATATACTTTAAAACCAAGCGATAATCAATTACTTCCAAGAATGTAATACTAGTGTAACGATTAAAAATGATTAGATTTATTAATATTAATCGTAAATGTTTATACATTGATTATTTTTTAAAATGGCAATTCAGGGAATGCATGCTTACCATAAAATTGTTGATCCAATTAAAGTCACTTTAATATTTAATACGCAAAGCACTTACCGTATATTATAATGAAAGTATTATTCTTCTAATTATAATCAATTAAAAGTTTACTGTATATGTTTACTACACTAACAACGAGTTCTTTCAGTATAGTTGTGTTTATCAAAAACTGTCAAAATTAATCAAATATCTGCAATAACTCACAAATAATACGAGAATCGGCTTTAAATATGATTATGTTTTCAATTTCGTTGACAATAATATACGTATATTTATAAGGAAAATTTTATTTATTTTTAAAAATTCCTTTGAAAACTACATAATTGATACTGATTATGCAACTAGTTATATTTGATCATGCGATTGTATCATGATTGTTTATTTATATATGTTTAATGTTTAAAAATCTAATTCATAATTATTTGAAATATTGAATAAGTTTTATTATTACTAGATAATTTGTGGTTAGGGTGAGAACTGTAGCATCCTGGTTTTTTGTATCGTCATTATTCATAGAAAAATATAATTATTTGTAAAATACAATCTTTATTCAAAGTGTTATTTTAAATATAACTAAATATTTTTTATTAATTGTAATTGGTTGAATTTAAATAATTATATTTACATTATAATGATAAATGGGCATAATTTATGACTGTTGTTATAACATGTCATCTTAAATGAATAATTAACACAAATTTTGTTATTTATTAATGATTTCATTCAAAAAGTTATTAATCAATATTTATTTTAATCTGTTTTTCACGGCAACAGTTATTGATTATATAAGTTTTATATGTTTTTGTCTTTATTCATATAATATAAACAATTAATTAAAATATATATAATTAGTAGTGTGTTATTTAATATGGTAAAATATTAGTGAGAAAATGGTAAATTAATACCGAGAATTTGATAATACTATCTATCCCTAAAATAAACAATTTATTTAATTGAATAAATTAGCGTTTAGTTAATCAATAGATATCAATAGCTATCTAATTTGTATTTATATAATCGTAATAGATTGTATTTGTATTTTATTAAGTTTACTTTAATCTAGATCTTTAATTGGGGTAATTTTTAAAAGTTCTTTATGTACATTTTAAATATTGTGATCTGCATGTACAAATTACCAGGGTAACAATTAAATCACATCTTATTCTAATATGACATAACAAGTTTAGATATAGATCAGTGCTTATCACTCATGTAAATTATCAATGGGAAATATTGTGTTTCCCATTATAAATTGACCAGAATGCTTAACCCTGGTATAGATTTATATCAATTCTTGTTACTGTTTAATTGAGTAAACACTTTATTGCGATTAGTTTTGTTTATTTTAAAATGAGTTGCATTTATAGTGGTGTTTCTAAATTGATTATTTAATTTAATAGGAAATAAAATTTTATTAAAATTTTTTAATGTGATAATTTTAAATGCTTGTGTATAAATACTACTTAAAAACTAAATTATACCATTTATTTATCAATAGATCATCCATGGTGTTAGTGCGTTACATTGATAGATTAATTTAATATAAGGCGTTGTTCACATATTACGTTCGCACTTTTTCAGAAATCTAGACCACCCCTCCCCCCTTTGTTCGCAATTGTTC